AAATGTGGCACTGATGGGCACTGGCAGGTGGCATGGATGAGCACTGAGAGCTGGCACTGCTGGGGCTACACAGATCATCAGGGCACACTAATCATCAGTGCGCTGATGATCAGTGTACATGTCCCCTCCGAGGAATGCCGATTACCGGCTCTCCTCTCGAGCTGTCAGCTCGTGGGGAAAGAAATGTCGATAATCAGCATTTCCCTGTTGACATGTGATCGGACATAGTCGGCTCTTTAAGTGGATCGGACACAGCGCACCGCCGATCGCTCCGAGAACCACGCATGTGCAGTTAAAAGGGGAGAATGTCATATGATGTCCTCCCAGAACGAAAGAACCACATTGTGTCCATCGTTTTACTATATGGTAGGCGGGAGGCGCTTAATAACCAACCTTTAACAGAAACAGGTTGACTCTTTTCAACAACATTTCCAGGCTTGCCAACAAAGGCAGTTTTCAGTTTTTCTGGTCTGAGCATGCTCAGTTGTGTTACTACTGAGCCATCTGAACTAGATGAAGCCAATGCCTGTTTGGATTTTTTTGACATATCACTTTATACAGGAAAATCTGGAATTGTTTTAAAACCGTTCTTAAAAATGTTCAACATATATTTAGGAAGTATAAATTGCTTGAGATCATGTCATTAAAAAGATTTTTTTCTGCTGTTCACCTGGTTCTAAGAGTTGAACTCATTTAGACGGTTGCTAAGTTTTTGTGACCATTTGCAGACAAATTAGTCAGTCATGCAAGGAACTGCAACCATTTTCAGACAAGATGCTTTAGTAAATCAACCCCTTGGAGTCAGTGTTACAATCCAGTATTGAGATGAGGTCATTATCAGACCATGCACGTGTCACCAGGAGATTAAAGATGGGAAAGGAATAGAACTAGTATGTGGAGAGTGAATGAGACGCCTATACAGGAAGTAGAGAAGAAATAAAGAAGGAATTAGAACTATATTTTTAACTCATTGAGACTGAAGGGGTATCCATTGCAACTGTCTGGGAAGCACATAAGGCATACATTAGGGGAATCCTGATATCAATAGGGGCGGGCTGAAGAGAAAAAAAAAAAAAGACCGGGGAAAGAAAATAGGGCCACTAACAGAGGAATTACTTGATTTAGAACAAGTACACAAGAAGATAGAAGGTAGAACAGAAGATAATCCAAAAAAGAGAAGAGTTAGAAGACTTACTGGAACAGGAAACAAGAAAAGTTTTTAATATGTTGGCAAAAGAAAGATAATCGGTGGGGGAATAGACCAGGGAAATATTTAATAAGAAGGTTAAGGGAAAGGAAGTCAAGAAATTATATAGAGAAAATGAAAGATGAGAAGGGAGAAATGGTCTTTTCAACCACTGAAATCACCACAAAGTTTCAAAAATATTATAGTAAACCATGTGAAATAAAATCAAAGAACCTGAAAGAATCCAAGGGAAGGAAAAAAAAAAAAAACCTGGTTTATCTATGGAAGCTGTATTGCCTAGATTTGAGGAGAGCAGCCTTAGAGAGAACCCCCCCCCCCCCACCCCCCACACACAGGAGGAAATATATGCTGCATTAAAGCATTCACCCACTGGAAAGAGCCCTGGGCCAGATGGGTATACCCTGAGATATAAGAAATTGAAGGAACAACTTGTACCTAAGATGTGCAACTATATGCATGCTTTGGGTGAGGTGATAGAAATGAGATAAGAGTCAATACAGGCATACATCACAGTAATACCAAAAGAGGTAAAAGACTCATCCCTGTGTCCCAGTTATAGACCTACTGTATGTAGAGAGAATTAATGGGGAACTAAATGTACTGTATTGAAGATATTGTTCTATGATGATTCCACAAATAAACTATTTACAACCCAGGGAGGAAAAGTTTGATAAAGATAGAAAATACACTGAGCGGGATACAATTAGATAAGAATATGTGGCTTCCACAACAGCATCTAAATTTTCTGAAAACACAAGGTATGTTTTTAGGATATGGGACAGAATTCACAAACAAAAAAAAAAAAGGGGAGTAAAAAATTCATTGTTCATACCACCTGGGAGAACAGAATTTTTTTTCCCCCCCAGGGAAAAGAAAAAAAAAATTTATATATATATATCAGCTAAAGAAATGCACATCTAAAAGAAAAAAAAAAAAAAATCACTGATAATGGGGATTTTTGTTCTATTAGATTTAAAAGGAGAAGACAGAAATATTTTGTTGGATGAGTGGCATTACTATCAATTAGGACATTTTGTTGCAATGCTCCCGCAGCCACTAAGAATAGAGAAGGACATGTATCCAATTGAAAATCTCTTTAACCTGGATCAGGGGCAGACTGACAACTCTTGGGGCCCCCGGGCAATAAGGGATCATGGGGCCCCTGTGTCCTTGCCCAAGCTCAAAAAAAGCCTATGAAAAAAGGTACCAGGGGCATCTCATGGGGCCCCCTACTGACCCCAGGCCCTCAGACAGTGTGCCACTGTTTATGGATAAGCAGGAAAAAAAAAAAAAATTGGAACAAAATTGAACAGGAAAAAAGAGAAAATATTTAAATTAGTGTATGGTCCGGAGGATATGAATACAGTAGAAATGAATTCTAAATTTTTAGCGAGGTGGTATACTACCCCTAGTGTGGCACATCAACATAAAAGTGAATTCTAATCATGCATGGAGGGGTTATGGGATGAAAGGAACAACGGCACATATTTGGTGGGAGTCTCCTAAAATAAAGAATTTTGGCAAGGAGTAATACAAATACAGGAGATGACAGGGATTAGTGTATTGAAAGATCCTTGGGTTTGTTTATTCTATAATTCTGACTTAAAATATTGTATTATTTATTAAATGGAGCTTAAAAAAAAAAAAAAAAAAAAAAAAACTGGATAAATAGAGTGGAGGATACACATACACACAAGATGGAGGAACTATATCATAGAGAGGTTAAGACTGAAAAATTCAAGAAAATACAGGATAGATGGAAGGACTTAAGATACCCATGAGATATATAGAACTGATCGGAATGTAAAAGGAAGAGCTGAGGACAGTAATAAATATCTAGTTAAAAGGGACAGAAGAGTAACAGTGGAACATAGGAAGAAGAAAGGAAAGACAAAAGAAACAAAGTAAGGGAATAGTAGGTGACTGAAGGGTGAGACGGATAATTTGGAAAATTTGTAATGGAAAGTGATAGTAAAATGAAAAAAAAGTGGTGTATTTAATGGAGAAAAAAAAAACCCAAATTGTGTTCTGCAGGATTTCTCTGTTAGCAAACATCAATGAACTATACAAGTGAACAATCCACCCCCACCCCCGGTATGAATGTGGCTGAGTGAGCAGCTGCTTGAGTGACTGGACTACATTGTCTTTTTAATACTGTGAGGTGATTGTTCGTGTTTTAGCTCACTTTTGTACATTTTACTATACATATTTTTCAATAAAGCCAATGTCTAAGCTGCATGGTCCCATTTGAAACTTTAATGGGGGGGGGGGGGGGGGCGCAAAATCTCTATCCTTGTTCTCTATGAATTGCTTACGAGTGTTGGTGACCACACCTATTTTTCCACATTGGGTGGAGTCAGCAACAATTTGGCAGTAGATATGAGCACAGGTTATCCTGCATCTATCATTTTCTATTGGCTATATAGGCCCCTGATGTATTTTCTTTACGTGTTGGATTTAAGCCTCATAAGCTCACCTGTAGGTACAAGTTAAAGTGGCCTTCATTTGTGACCCACAGGAAGCCACGCAAAAGCACATGGCAGCTCAAGGCATCCAGTACCATCATTACATATCCTGCACATGTGCCACAAGCATTGGGACCCAGCTAGGTCCCATACCTCTGGGTACCAGAATCTGGGACACCTGTATATGCATGGTTATTCCTCCCATGTGCATGCAGCCATCAGCAGAAAAAGACTACCTCCTGGATGTGGTCTTCCCAGGTGGTGGTGGGCAGGGCTTCTGTTAGAAACCACGGGCCCCATACAACCAACCTGACAGGGCCCTCCCTCCTCAACCAACATTTTATTATGCTTCAGTTATAAATGAACACAGTGAGTGATTAGTACTGATCACTCAGTGCTGCAAATTAGACAGTTTACCAGAACAGCAGGTGGCAGGGGGGGTGGGTTCAACTATAGAAGGGGTATCAAACTGGTGGCTCTCCAGCTGTTTGGGGTCAACCACCTGGAGGGCCACTAGTTTAACATCTGTGAATTACTGGAACTAATCCAGTGTTGCTCTCTGCAGTAGCTGAAATTCAGCAGGCAATAAAGAAGCCAGCTTTCATCTGCTGCAGAGAGCCAACAGGGGATCAGTTCCAGTAATTTCCCCAAAGTCACCCTCCCTGCCCACATCTGATCCACCCAGCTGCCTGGGCCCCCCCTTGCTGGCCTGGGCCCCATAGAGGAGGACTGGTGATATCCCTTTATTCATGGCCCTGTAGTGGGAGCCTAGGCAAGAAAAGTAGGAGCACTTTTTGGCAGCACTAAAGGTGATAAAAATTAGCATTTCACTTATGCAAGGGGGGGGGGACCAGAATAAAGGGGAGAACTCAGTTTACAGTGCATGGATGTGCAGCGCAGCCTTACATGTATTAGCAAATTTTAGGTAACAAACCTCTTTTCCAAAAATTTTATTGTACTTTCCAGAGTTCTCATTACAACAAGCAAGTTACACTGAACAGGATTTTACAAATGGATACAGATCAATGTTATAGCCACCATTAGAGTTGAGGCGTGAAGTCAGGACATCTCCGTCCACAAATGTTGTGCATTTCTGGAAGATCAGATCTGTACTTTCAGGTTCTTTAGCTCCTTGGAGTTTTTGAAAAAGATGGGAGGTGGCATTCCTGATCATGTGACCACTACATGGTTCTCATCTCCATCCTAGAAATATTCCAGTTCATCATCCTTATCCTTATCAGTCTGGAAAGACACCAATTTTGGTCCCCCCCCTGTACCAGGCAGAGGTACGAAGACTCGAGCGTGGATATAAGTGTCCTCTCCAGTGTTCACCTGGAAAGAGCAGAAAAAAAAAAAAAAGTTAATTCCACCTTTAATTTTGGTGTTTTCACTGATATTAGAGTTATATTATTAAGTGTTCTACCAGAAGAACAGTTCCAAGATATCTGGGGGCAACTTTAGATTGCAAGCTCCTGTGGGGCAAGGACTGACAACTGCTGGAATGTTGTCTGTACAGCGCTGTGGAATAGGTCAGCTATAAAAATGAAAGTGTGCAACTCTGGGGGATACAATAGAGTGTTAGCTCTGAGGATATAAAGTCAGAAGCATTAATAGTGTATGATGATGCTGCAGACATTAGAGTGTAAGCTCCTCTGGTGCAGTCATCTGACTGTCAGTGTTCTCTATACAGAACTGTGGTATGTGTCAGAGCTATAGAAATGTATAATAGTGTGCAACTGTGGGGGGGGGGGGGGGGGGCATTGGAGTGTAAGCTCCTCTGGAGAGACTGATATGACCAGATCAGTGTTCTGGTCAGCACTGGAATATGTCAGCCATGTGTAGTCCAGGAGGGTGGGGGGTGTGGTGGAAAACAGAAATCAGGTGGTGTGGGTGCTGCAACTGGGGTGGTAGACTGGAATGGGGGGCAGAAGTATGAGATTAGAGAGTGGAAGACTGCAGCGACTGCAGAGGGAGGGGTGTAGGGCAGAGGACAGTAGCTCAGGATGGGGGGGTGAAGAACAAGGGGACCACAATTTTAGTTGGTGCAGTGAAGAGAAGGACCAAAACCTAATGGAGGTGTGGAGCAATGATTGTAGGGGCCAGGCAGTAGTGTTAGATGGGGGGGTAGTGTCATCTGATGGGGGTAAGTTGGGGCAGCATTGTGGGATGGGGGGGTTAGGAGTATGGGGGCAGCACTAGTTTTCCCTCCAGCTCCAATGCTCTCCTCTGCAACCATATCCAGACAGATCAGACAGCAGGAGGTGGGGGGACGTGTCCTAGGGAGAGCACTGGAGCTGGAGGCAGTAGGTGCAATTGTGCACTATATGGTGGTCGTCATGATCCAGCCAAGCGAAGAACATCTGGGTCACATTGGGGAAAGGGGGGGGGGGGGACAGACTGGCTAGATCACCAGGTGAAATAGGAAACTGGTTTAACATTCCCTGGCCGACAACACTGTTACACTGAGTGGCTAATTGGGGGGCAGTGCTGAGGGGGGAGAAGTGACAGCCAGGAAACCAAATGCTCCTGCTAGACTCCAGGGGAGAATATAGCAGCCAGTCAGTCAAAGTCTTTTAGGAACAGTCTTCCCTGCTGAATTCTAGCAAACTGCCATTTTCTCCCCTGCGCTGAATAGAGGAGAAGCATTTAGAGTTTGCCGGCTGCAGGTGCTGAGGGGGTGGGGGAGAGATTTACTAAAACTGGTGGACACAGAATCTGGCTGCCATGCACAGTTGCACCAATCAGGTTCAATTAAACTGATTGGTTACTATACACAGCTGCAACCAGACCACCAGTTGTAGTAAATCTCTCCATGTGTCCTACATCCATTTTGCCTGTAGGGCACCAGAACATGTGCCTCTGCTTCTGTTCCCCAGTGGCAAGACAGATATTGGATATTTCCGATATATTAACCCATTTCCCACCTGTAGGATGTCATGATGTCCTCGGGTCAAAGTGGTTATACTAGGATGAAGCCTGCACCAGGCATCAATTTTCTGCCCCCAATTCTCTTTCTAGCAGAAGAAATTCATTCACTTCTGCAGGTGGAGTGTAAGGTTCAGCCAGAGCTATAAACTGACAGCGACTAGTGGGAAATTAGTGTGTTACGCCTTAACCTGACAATGTTCCATAAAACCCAAAGCATTACCTTGAAAAAGTAATTTGTTCCGGCAACAACCTGAGTACTGACGAGGATCGCCTTAAATTCTGTGGGGTTTGTCCCGGACTGTTGCTCATACTGAGCTTTCACCTGAAAAAGAAGAAAGTTCAGGTTGGGAATGGCCCAGATATAGACCTGCACTCAGTACCAGCTGTAATAGTCCTTGCTGCAGAGTATCAGACTAAGCAGTCACTGCAGGCCAGGGGCCGGATGTGGCCATTGGCTTGCCTTTATCTGGTCCTTGGGGCACAATGCAATCAACTGACACCCATCAATTGGTCACCATTCCCCTATTGATACCAACAAATGGACAGTTTCTTCCATTCAAAGAAATGATTGGGAATTGTTTATGCTCACCAACGCTGGGGCATTTTTTACTTCCAATGGTCACAGTCAAGCCCTCCAGAGTCTGAAGGACAGTAAACTGGCCCTTCACATAGGACGTTAAGACCTATGCTATAGATAATAGCAAGCTTTGTATTCTTTGCACACCATTTTACTTCACCCCCCCATCATTCTCAGTGGACACTTATTAAGGGCAGATGGATCCATCTCCTTCCTGGAACCCCACCTAGAACATGGCAGGAAATACCCAGGATGCAGCTGTGAGGCCAGGAGCTACATCACCAGTGCCTCACCCAACCAGAAAATGGAAATGATTGAAAGCAAGACAAAAAAGGCTTACCTAGCGATTGTAAGATTCTTTATATCAGTATACATGGCTGTATGGTGCAGCCGTTTAGTGGAGGATGTCCACTTTAATTTGTCCTTGTTAAATTATATTTGATATCAAATGTTATAAAAAGCTGTTGAATTATGGAGGTAGTCATATGCAGCATCTGGTTGGGCTTTACTCTGTACATTTGTTAACAGACAGAGCGGTGCTTTATAATTGCACTCGTCATGCAACTGCCCCGGCCTCAAATTAGGAGGTCCTCTCTCCAGCATTAAGCAAACAGAACTTCTATTGGATCACACCGCCTGCCCACCAATACATTACATGACCAATGATGGCGCTGTGGAGTAAACACTGCAGTGTCCATTGGACAACAATATGGCCCTTTATGAATCAGCTGACTCACAAAAACAAATGTCCTCCCTTGGAAGCTCTGATACCTCAATTGCCATTGTGCAACAAGGCAGAGTGATTGAAGGCCAAGTGTTTTCCTCCTCCTCTAGTGGCTCATCTACAAATCAGTTTTATGCCGCCCCCCCCCCAAAAAAAAAAAAACCAAAAAACTATTTTAGTCACTTCAGTTCCCGCACCTGATTACATATTATGGATAGGGTGTATAAGGCCAGGCCCCATAGACTCATTGTGAGAAGGAGCAGTAAAGTACAAACCAGAGGCTGCATATACACTCCCTGGCCTCTATTAGGTCCATCTGTTCAATTGCTTATTAACACAAATTGCTAACCAGCCAATCACATTGCAGCAACTCAATGTATTTAGGTACATAGATGTGGTGAAGACAACGTGAAGGTCAAACAGCATCAGAATGGGGAAGAAAGGGGATTTAAGTGCCTGAACTTGGCATGGGTTAGTGGTGCTAGACAAGCAGGTCTGAGCATTTCAAAACTGCTGATCTACTGGGATATCCACACAACCCATCTCTAGGGTTCAGCCTTTAACTAATAGCAGCCAATAAGCATCTAACATTCAACTGAACAAGCTGAAGATGGAAGCCGATTGGTTGCCATGCACAGCTGCACCAGGTTTGATCATTTCACTTTATTGTGGTTTACATTCCAGGGATCTGGAGAAGGAGGGGGTCTCAAGAAGTTTCTTATTAAAGGACCATCCATGTCCACCATACATTGGCAGCTTTTGGGAATTGCAGCTTCTGCCATTGTAAACTATAGGGGACTACAAGACCAATTCACAATGTCAAGCTAATAAGAGTACATTGGAGTCCCTTACCCATTGGAGCTCCCTCATGGGGCCCATTTATACCAGCAGGTGCACAACATGCAGACTGGATTACATTGTTACAATGCATTGCAGAGTTTACTTTACATAAAAAAAAAAAACTATGAGATTCATGCAACTCTAAGCTGACAATGTAATGCAGTTTAATGAACACACTTGTATGGTGTAAACATGACACAGGTCAATGGCCTCTCAGGGTCCCAATGCAGATCATCACACCTGGCATGAACCAGTCCTTAGGATTGGATCCCCAACCACTTACCTCATCAAGGATGGCCTGATCTTCTGCAGTAGGTTCCCTGGGCTCCCCCGGGCTTACTCAGTCCCCCAACTGTTGCTTGTGCAGCCTCAGCCATCTTTGTAAAGTTCTCAGTAGACTAATACAGATCACCCAGTACCTGGGCTTATATACCTGTGGGCTGTACCATTCCACAGAGAGGGTGGGGGTGTCCAGTAATGACTACACCCTGCATGTGATGGGCCATTCTCAGGAGAAAACTGATACTAGGCATTGGAAATGACGTCATACAAATCAAAGTCTGTGCTGAGAAAATCAGTGGAATGGTATGAGGAACCTATGGATCCCTGGAGGTAAATCTGAGGTCTCTGGTATTACATCCTTCTTTTCCTGACCGCCCACCTAAAGGAAAACATGATACAGGTGCAAAAAAAATTCCACCCCCCCACATTTGTAGTAATACTATTGCCAAACATGAGCCATTCAGGTGAATGGGAACCGCGCCCACAACCACCCTGCAACCTACGATGGTTCAGCCCTTTCAGGGTTAAATCAGACATCTGCAGCTGATATCGCTGAGCCCTGGACATGGGGTGGGAGCAGACAGGTCATCACCATAGGAGGCACTGCTGGCCATACCCTACTACACCCTACTTAAAGGAACAGTATTGCTTACTGGGGACACCATTCAGACACCTAGACCCGAGTTCAGAGGGACCTAAGCCTCGTTTAGACTTACGGTTGGAGGGTGGTAAAAATTGGTGGTTGAGCCACATTTTTGCCACCTACCAGCTGCCCCTATTGAGCTACAATTAGCAGCGGATGGGGGTGTTTACATGTACCGGCCGTGATGTTTCATTTTGCCCCCACTGCAAAGTTGACCCAACTTGTAGCGATTGTCAGGGGCTACACATTCAAGTTATTGGGGAAGCACTGCAGAGCCCTGCATTGCACGCAGTTGCAAGGCATTTGTTGATAAAAAATGGGGTAAAAACAAGTGGCACAGAGGCGTCAAATCTCTTCCTCGTTGCCTGCCAGTGCGATCCGAACACGGAACAGGCTTCAGGGGCCAGGGAGATGTAGATGTACGTCTAGATCTACCCTTACTTCTGAGCTCTCCAGTGCCAGATTTAGGCCCCGAGTACTGGCCAGTAAGGCTTGGTTCACATATATGCATTTTGCGTTTGATGCTTTCTCCAGTGCTTTTTGCATTTTGTTTTGTGTTTTTCTACACGCATTTTTTGCTGCATTATTGCTTTTTGCGTTTTGTTCAGCTCTTTTTTTTTTTAGTTAAAGTGGAATTTTTTTGTTGCTGGGCAGATAAGTATGCAAAACTCAGCAAAAATGCAGCAACAACGTGGCAAAAAAATGCACTACCATGCATTCCAGCAGCTTCTCCAGCTTCTTCTAGCCAGAAGGTCAAATTGTGGTCAGGAGCTGAGAGGCTCTGCAGGCCAACCCCTCTGAAATTTCCCCCTGCTCTGGGGCTTTTCAGGAAGGCCTAGGGGTAGTGGGTGGATCTGGGGAGTGTCTGGCTTGCACTCTTGAGGGATCCTAGCCAAGAGGCTGGGGTACAATCTTAAAAGTGTTGGAGCCTGCGTACAAGACAGTAGGAAAAATGTGAGGCTGAAGGCAGGAGGCTGTGAGGAGGCCCAGTGGGATGGGGCCTACCTGCAGGCCTGGAGCTGGAAAGGAGACTCAGAGTTTCACTGGCCCCCAGAGCGAGGACCACCTGTACAGCAGAGAAAGAGCGGCCCAGCTAAAAGGCCCATCAGCGGTACAGGAGAAGACCTGAGTGAGTAGACCTGCACCCCCTGGGCAGATAGGGGAAGGAGCAACCAAATTCACTGCCGATTTGGGACTGTCCACTTTTACAGTAACAGACACCAGATCCCCTGTTCAGGGATACCTCCAGATTGCTGGGGGAAGAGGAAGAAGTTCATCTAGGATCTGTGGTGGTACATTAAGGAGATGCTGGCTAGCTCTCCAACAGAGACTGTGTTGCAGTGAAGACTTGTAAATAGTTCCAGGATGTTGTCCTCAGTTCATCAATTTCCTTGGGCATCCTGTACACCCCTAACCCTATCCCAGTTCAAATCCCCTAAATAAAACAACAAAACCAAAGTTCAAGGACTGATCTCTGACTCTGGATGCAAGCCTGTGTGAAGAGGTGTGATGTCTGGCTGTGTAGGACTTAAGGGGGACCCAAATCTTCTACCGACTTGGTAGATCATCAGGGAGGAGAGAAGAATGTGCCTGTAAGGAGGGTAGCTTCCTGGGAGCCTGGGGGAAGGATTGGGGAGGAGTGCAGACATAAGGCCTGAATTGTAAGAACCACAGTACCCCTCCTGCAGATAGTGGGCCATTGTACCAGAACCCCGGGATATGGAAAGTCGTTTTATTGTAATTTTAATACTGAGATTGTGGATCCTTGTGTATGTTAATTACAGTGAAGAACTGCCATATTGTGGACTGTTGTACCTTGTTGACCTTTCCAAGTATTTAGGTAAAGTTTCAAGCAAAGAAAATCCTTGCTTCATCATTGTCTCAGTGAGGACAAAACCATATGTAAGGGTAGGGAGATGGTTGTTTGTCATGTCCTCCATGTTTCCCTCTTCATTGGATGCCAAGCAAAGATCACATGAGAAGCCTACTCCGGGGTGGGTTCTTCTGAGCTACGCTAGGCACCTTGTACAGGGTCTCTCTCTCTACTCCACACATATGGGGTACCTTTGCTTTAGTGCCGATTTCAGCAACACCCTGAGAAAAGGCTGAGGTTGCCCTCAGGAAATACCTGACCTTAAGACAGGCCTTTACTTTTATAGAGATGAATGTACACCATGTACACTTGCACAACAACTGTTTTCAAGTTAACTCTCGGGTCCCCATGTAAATGTTCATCTTCCCAC